AACCCTGCTAACAGACACCTTCGACAATAGAGCGGAAGTTTCCAGCAGAATCGGTGACTGGATAGCTACATGCAGCCGCTCGAAGTTGTTCTGGAATAAAGCTAACAGCAGCATAAATTGGAAAAGCCAAGTGTTCAATGCTGTCGTCCGCTCCAAGTTACTATGGCTTAGAATGTGTGCGGCTTACGAACGCTGAACTCTCTACCCGAAATGCCTTCCAGAACGAATCGTTGAGAAGAATGTTGCACATCCCACCTACATTCTCATAAACAGGGAACAGACTAATGCTAGCGTGTATGGTAAAAATACGTACCCACTATGGATGTTCTGTTGAGCATTTTGCGGACACATGGCGCAAGGCAAAGTTCAGACTTTTTGGACACGTATTGCACGTATTGCGAGCCAGCCCAGCAGATCCTCTAGTTCAAGTCACTTTCAAAACAGACGGATTGACACTGAGAGCTCCCACCAGAAGGCGGCGAGGCAGGCCCAAAGCAGATTGGACAACCGAAGCTTATAAAGATGCAAAATATAGAACTTCATGGAGATGCTCACGCCTTTGATGTCAATAGTGCACAACATTTAAATGAGATTAAATAGTCAGCTAGAAATCGTCAAGGACCTTTTGCTGTGTAACATGAAGTTGATACATCGGGACGCAGTCCCAGAGGCCATCGGCCTCTCGAGGTATTCTTCGCGGTAATCTCGTCATCCTTGCTTGGGGAAGCGTGGTGCGAGTTTTTATTTTCCATGTTATTTACTCATTGCAGAGCTAATTGTCTTGAAGGTAATATATATATATATACTCTATGACTGCTGAACTTGCTTCACTGTCCTAATGTACCTCCTGCTCGTGCTTTACATTCTCGCAAGCCTGTTGCGAGCCGTTCTGGGCTTGACAAAACTTACTAATGATCAGTTACAAACTGCCAATAGCTACTAGCATACAAGCAAGCAGTTGCAAGTAGTTGTTTAATACTCGTTCTCTAGTATCCGTATCTTATACGAGTACTTATGTGCAAGCTTGCACGCTAGGAGATGCTATGCTAGTCTCGACCTGCGATAAGATGATATACTACACAGTCCTGTGTGCTGCAAGGTCTCAAACTGCTCTTGTACATAGATGCTTTTCAGTATCTATTGCACAGAATCTTGTGCTTCGAGGTCGAAGTGGCCTTGGCACCGAGTCCCTGAACGCCATGCTCGTCAGCCACGGGCCACTTTCTCCGGCGAGGACGTCACCGTCGAAGTCTCCAGTGGCATGGGAAGAGTTTAGTTTGAGCTCAGGGCTTCGGCGTAGGGTTTCAGGGTTTCAGAACGGCTGTAGGGTCTTATAGGATTCAGAGCTTACCGGGTTCAGGGGTTCCACCAAGCACCGAAGCACAAGAGGATTTCTCCAACTCAGGCAACTGAGGGGCTTCTAACCCAGGCATGCTTAAATCTCAAACTCCCGATTCTGCCAGTGCAGGGGATTGCTTGCAGGCCAGTGCTTCCCACGGAGCTTTGCAGACCAAGGTGGCCAAAGACAAGATCAAGAAGCCACAGCTGCTACGGCAGCAGTCCACCCTCAAGTCTGAAGATGTTGAGAAGGCCGAATGTTTGAAGGCTTAATGCGAGTAGGAAGTCTTGAGCTTAAGGTTTCCAAGGATAGGAGTTCCATGGCAAGAATCAACCCCTGGGCATCATGTTCTGCAGCACCCCTGCCACCCCTGCTTGCAGGCGATGTCAGGATCCGTGGGCAAGATGTGACAGCCTGCGACTCTCTCTGCTTTTTTGCTTGCAAGCGGTCACCTCAAGAACTCGGCACAAGCCCAGCATGTAGAGAGCTCAGACGCTAACCACGGTTTCACAGCTGCTCACAGGAAGCAGGGTGCCATTATGCAGCTTTTGAGCTCGCCTCGTTGCAATGGGGTTCTCCACCAAATGTCGGCTTCAAGTTGCAGTGCGCATATCAGTGTCTGAAAAATGTTTCGAAGGCTTACACCGAGGCAAGTTGCACTGCTTGCGCGGAGGTGGCAAACGCAGGCCCGGAGCGCCCGGTGCTAGAGTCTTCCAGCATAAGAGTTGCGTAGCCATGAACATAACAATTCAACACTGCGCCCACTTCTCAAAGGGATTTGGGAGCCGGGGACCTGCATCATCTATTGTCAAAAAAGGTGAGCATGTCTTCACGGCCTTGCCACATGGGTCCGGGAGACGTATTGGAGGGACACGGGCCTGGGACTCGTGTCAGGCCCACTCACAGGGTTACGAAGCTGAGATGATCAGATTTGCTGCAGCATCCAGCAATGATCAAAGGCAGTTGTTCAACGTCCGGACCTGGGAGAGGAGACCTTCGAGTGACTCAGTTGCATGGGTGAAATGTCAACAACCGGATCAACCGCAATTTCGGCTTGTAGTGAGGAGAGGGCAATCCCCTCGACTCTCGGCAATGATTCTCAGAAGCGTCTCACACAAGCACCAAGGAACTTTTGCAAAGACGAAGACATCCTGCTGCAGCTGCGCTACACGGCTCTTCCTCCTGCCAGCGACCGAGACCTTTCAGATCCTTGCAGCCGAAACTTCCAAAGTGTTCACCTGCCAGCAAGCCTTCGTTTCTGGCCGATGAGAGTTTTAGTGATTTTAGTGTCCCTTGGTGAGGTGACACCTCTTGAGATTGTCCATCCATCAAGCCTTTGTGTCTACCGCTGTCTCCAAGAGTCTGCTAGGAGAATCGCAAGGCCAGTGCCAGCTGTGTGATCTGTAGGTGGAGGATGGCTGCCCGGCTCACCGCGTCAACATTTATCAGCTGACCTCGGCGGACCTATTGCGCGGGGGTGCAAAAAATTCGGTTTTGCCGACAAGAGCTCTCGACACCAGACCTGAAGATTACTTGATGTAGATAAAAAATAAGCGAGCAAATAAATAAATAAACAAATAGATAAAAATACACACACACACATATAGATATATATACATACATACATACATATATATATATATAGATGTTGAATATCATATACCACCGCAGAACTTGTAGCATCTGACAATCCGCCACATGGCATGACTTCCATGTCAAGCTTGTCAAGACACCCCTGCCGGGTGGCGAAGCAATCAGATCCGAGTCGGCCAGGTGGGAAGGAGCAGTTCGCGTCGAAAGGCTCCGGATCCGGACTGCTTTCAATCTCATGTGGTAGATTTTCCCATGGTCTGCTTTCCAGTTCCCTCATCTTGGCGGGTATTTTGTCTTATTCTATAGGATCAGGACCATGAAATGCAAGGAACGACGGTGGAGACGATAGGTAGAAGAGACAGAAGACCCAGAGAGACTTGGGTTTTCTGTTTCCGGCAACTTTTGAAACGACTTGGTCCAGGCTCCAAAGCCGGCAGTGCTACAGGCCCTGGCCCGGGTCAGGGACTTGCCGACAGATGGCTGCAAAAGCGGTGATGTCTCAGCCCGAGTCAACTCCCAGGCGGTTCCCAGAAAGAGGGCAAGGGAACTCCAGGACGGTTTCGCTGGAATGGTTTGAGCTGACAGGGCTGCCCTGAGTGCTGCAATGCTGCGCACTGCCGCGGCCACTCTCACATTCCAAAGTTGTAGTAAAGGACGCTCTCCTAACATTTCGCTCAGCCTGGCGACGCCCGGGCTGATCGTTTTTTGGGGCGTCGGAGGGTGGGGAGGCCATGGCATCGTACAGCATTCGGGTGCAGCAGCTGTCTGGTAAGCTCATCGGTGAAGTGGAGCTGCCTGAAACAGCCCGCGTTGCAAGCATCCTGGAAGCTGTTCGCCCTGAGGAGCCCGAGCTTCTTGTGAGGAGGGTTTTGGTCTTCAGCGGACGATCTTTGGCAGAGACTGAAGTTCTGGGCCAGATAGGGCCGAAAGCTCCTGCAGTCCTGGATCTTCATGAGATAACACAGCCCCTTCGGACAGAGCGAGTGGCTTCGTTACCCGAGAAGTGCCGCACCATTCATTTAGGGCTCTTTGGGGAGTGCCGGTCTGGCAAGACGAGTCTGCTCCACAGGTACGCCCACAACACCTTCAACGAGCGCATGATGCCCAGCACGATGGGGATTGACTTCCAGGTTGCCAGGGTCATGGCCCACGATGAACCTGTAAAGGTCATGCTCTGGGATCAGCCAGCTGGTAAGGAGCGATTTCGAACACACACATCCATTTACTTCCGAAGAAAGCAGGCCATTCTGCTGGTTCTGGACTTGACATACCCACAATCCTTCCGTGACATCAGCGAATGGCTCCGTTTCCGGGAGGCAGAGGTGATTCCAACGAAGCTCTTGATCGGGAACAAGGCTGACCTCGTAGAGGAACGAAGAATTTCCAGAGAGGAAGCCGAGATATACGCCAAAGAGCACGACCTCGTGTACTTCGAGACATCTGCCAAAGAGGGTACCGGTGTGGAAGAAGCCATGGATTATGCAATTTTTGATGTCCTCGCCCGTGAAATTCAACCGCCTGCGCAGCCTGTGGTCAGAGAACCGCTCCGAGCATCCAACCTGAGGTGCGAAGTGCAGTGATTCGCATCTCACCCCTTAATCACAACTCCCAAGCTCTCATGTTGGAGGTATAAAGTTTTCAAGAACTGAAGACCAAGTTCTGTCAGAAATGAATCTTTGCGGCGGATAGCCAGCTAATTAGTGGAAGCACCAACTGGAGAGCAAGGATTGCATAATATAGGGGCCTTAATACTTACCTCTAGTACTTCGGTTCCGTACAATTACAGTATAGTATACCCTAAAACCCTATTCTATTTATTCCAGAAAGGACTGTTGTGGCGTGTACAGATAGTTAGTTTTTCAATTTTCCCGAGTTTTGTTCAAGGTTCTCGAGTGGTGATATCAGCCACAAGCAACTATCAAGGCCCCTATGTTAGATTGCCTAGATCTGCTCAGAGGATGGCGGAGCCCCTTGGCCGACTTAGGTCGAGTCTCTACACTGCAAGATTGCAGCGCGAGTGTGCTTTGACAAAGAGGGGTTTCTGACTCCCTAGACTCACTCTAGACTCTGGCGCCGAAGATTCCGAGGGTCGGAACTTTGCTCCGAACAGTAGAGACTGATTTTTTTTTTGACGCTGTTATCTTTCTTATTGGTTGTCTGATGTGTATTCGTATTGTCATTAGTCCTAGTGTTGGTATTGGCATTAGTTCTGATTATCATTATTTGTTATTGTTGCCATTACCATCATATCGCTATGGCCGCTATGATTCTTCATGCGCAAAACCCGAGTCTGCAGTACTTCAGGAGCCTCCAGTGGGCCAAGCCGAGCACACGCGGCAGGCTCTTCGGGTTCCCACAAAAGGGGTTTCAAGGCGTTCACGTTTAGGATGTGTAGGGTTTATAGGCTTAGGATGTAGGGTGTTTCAAGCTTAGGAATTTCGGGTTTATACCCGAAGCCCTAAACCCCTAAACCCTAATAGGGTAGTATCAGGGCTTTCAAGGTTAGGATGTAGGGTTTAGGGGGCTCAGCCAGGCTTTCGATTCGGCGGCCAGGGATGCTCCCAAGCTGCGAAGGCCGAAGCCTGAGCCAATTTGGGAGTTTCCGGAAATTAGGGTACCTTATTCTAGGAGGCTTATAGTGACGATCCTACTACTTAGGGTGCTATGTTAGGGTCCCCTGTTTTCGGAAACCCCCCAATTTGGTGGATGGTTCTCTTCTTGCATTTTCACATCAAAAAATGGTCGTAGACTCGAGGCGATGCTCGTTCCACCGGCTCTTGCAGGGCCGGAAGCGGAGGTGCGGTCCACGCTTGAGGCACCCTCGACTTCAGCTTACTGCGTTAAAGCCGGTACAGGGAAAATCTCGCGGCTTGCAGAGGCAGCGAAATCATCCGGTGGGGCTGATGGTTGCCGTCGGAAGCTGAGACTTCTTGCTGTGATGAGCGCAGTGTGGGCCGCGCCCCAGGAATATTTGCGATGCACGCCTCAGGTCATGTGCTGAAGCGGATGTTGCTGCGTGGACGCCTCAGAGAAGCCATCAAGGCTTTTAGCTTTCGCACGGTAGAGGCTTGTCTGTCTGAGGCTGGCATCCAGACAAAGCGCTCCAAGGAGAGTCTGCCGAGGCCCCGCGTTTTGATGACAACGCGCACATGTGGGCCCTGTGATCCGCATGGCGAGCGTGCACTCGCTGGGCGCTCGACTCTTCAAAGCGAAACCTAGCAGCCTATAATGTCTTACGCCTGAAAGAGGTCACAGCACTATCACAGCACATCACACACTTCCCAACCCCAAATCACTGCCTTGGTTCCCCTGTCCCCGCGTTCAGCATGGTAGTGTGCTGTCTTGCTGGAGAACACAGAGCGGTCCGCACTGAAGGGCTGTAGTGCTTCCACTTTTGGAGTATGCTGTGAGAGCGATGCGCGCATGTTGTGGGTGCAGGCGAAAGCAGCCCAGGCCGAGTCAACACGAGTGCCAGGAGCCAAGATCCCCTGGGAGACTTGATCTTCTGGTGTTTGGATGTGGGCAGTTCTCTAAATTGGTGTCTCTTTTGGGGACCTTTTTTTTTTATTTATCAGTGTGCCGTACTACATTGATGATGTTGGAGACCTAAGAAGGGACCCTAGTTCAGAAAACTACCCTTGTACAGTCCATGTATGAACAACGAGCCACCAAGCGGCTACGCCGCAAGATCTGACTTTGTGAAGCTGCAATCTACAAGGCGCCCTTCCCGGCCCTTTCTCTTTCAGGCATTCCTCCATCCTCAAGATATCTGAATAGAAACTAATGAACAGAATAATAGCATGACCAGTATCACTGTAGCCAAAATAATATCAAAATACCACTACTACTACTACTACTACTACTACTACGACTACGACTACGACTACGACTACGACTACGACTCCGACTCCTACTGCTACTGCTACTGCTACTGCTACTGCTACTGCTACTGCTACTGCTACTGCTGCTGCTGCTGCTGCTCCTGCTCCTGCTACTGCTACTGCTACTGCTACTGCTACTACTATTAGTCCTAATCATATTAATAGTAATAATACTTGCAATATTAATAGCAATAGTAGTAGGTCGTGACATAGTAATATCTCAAGATCGCTGGCTTCGAGGCTGCGCTTCATCCTGCAGGAGAGAGATCGGCCGGCAACCTAAGCTCTCTCGAGCCTCTGGCTTCTGGCACGAGAAATATGGCGGTTTAGGGCTTAGAGTTTAGGGTTCAGGATCTGGAGTTTAGGGTTCAGGATCTGGAGTTTAGGGTTTAGGGTTAGGGTCAGTAGGGGTCCGGCAGTCTCGGGTTGTTGTGTGCTTTCTCGGAGGCATCTGCGTGCAGCAAGCTGTGTCTCGCTTCTTCAGCTCTGTCGCAGAGACGTGCATGTGATAGCGACCCCCGCTGAGTGGACTGTCGAGGTTGGGCCTCTAAGTTGGCTCCGGCCAACAGGGGCAACGCAGATCCTGCTTGCCCCCTGCAGTGAGACTTCAGTCTGCTGTGTGTCTGAGATGCCCGGCACACCGGGAGCACATTCCAGAGTAGCTTGTCGGAGCGAATTCGAACTCCTTGGTGTGGCTACTGAGTGGGCACTATTGCAAGCTGTGGAACTACTTGTGGAGTCCCTGTCATGGATAGACACTCAGTAGGCAATGTGATACTGTAGGGCCAGCAATCGGGCCGTTTATCATGAGAATAGGGTTTAGGTGTATATGGTATATGTTATACTACGTTACTATATTTCAATTTGGTGATGGGTAACTACTATTGCCATTTGTTCCGCACCCCTACGTTGGATGCAGGCCTTCTGAGACGGTCAACCATGCTTTGCCCTCTACGCTGGACTCCGATAAACCATAGATTAGTTCTCCTAAACCGAACCTTTAAACTTTTTGGGTTCCTATAACTTAATAGTAATCTGAAAGTTTAACCTTTCTTTCCCTGGTTTATTGGGGAAGTAGGATAGCTTCCTCCATCAAGTGATGCTCCTCGAGCAGTTTTCCACGATGTTACGTATGAAACCCAAACCTGAAACTCGAAGTAGGAGGTTAAACGCCCAAAGCAATTCATCATAGCCTCAGGGCACGTCAGAGCTAAGTGGGTCGGAAGGCATGACGAGCTGTTGCTGGCTCCACACCCACTGTCAGAGGAAGACTGCGGGGCTGGTGTAGCCGCTGATTGAAGTGTTCTCATACCTCATTATAATCGTTTCTTGCCTGCATCTGCGACCCCACCACCGCAAAACAAGCTACGAAGTGCGACTAACTTGAGAACAGGCGCCATGACCGGCAACCCTTGTGACACCACCTGGAACGGCCAAGCCAACTTCATGGGCAACAAGGATGCACGTTCCCTCCGAGACCCTGCGGAGACCAGACGACTACGGAACGACAACTTGTCTGATTGTCTACAGTAGCGTCCCAGACTGCTCACCTAAGCTGTGCCCAAGAGCAGTTCCACAACCTGCGACCTTGCAGAGCGAGAGATTTCTGTGGATGCATGTGCAGAAGCCGCCGCGGGCTGCCATACATCCGCCGCTGGAAGTAGCGAGAGCAGAGCGCACATGAATGGGACATCTGCAGGCATCCTTAACTGTCGATCGCTGGAACTTTTCGAAGTCTCACCTTGACATGTTCGGCGGACGAAACGTGCTGGGCTTCACCGTGTAGGCACTCCGAGTCTGAGGACATGAGATAAAGCTCAGAAGCTTGCACCGCTCGAGAGGTCATTTCTAAATGGCTGGTGAGACGGTAAACCCTCCGTAACTGTGCGCCTCACCATTACTGTGACGATGCGGTGCGAGCATTTCGGAAACTTAAGTCAGCTGTGGCTCCATTGTAATGCCGCAGAGTCATTTCGGCTCCAAGTGTGTTGCGGACGATTGGAAGCGTTGGGTGCTGCCCCCAGCTGTGCGCTGCGCTCGCTGTCTACCAAACATACAATCAGCGATAGCCGCTTACTTTGTCGCTGCAAATGTGTAGGTAGCCGCAGGCCTTCAGATGTGAAGCCGGCAAGTCAAGCAGGTCCGTTTGAGATGATTCCCGCCACCCTGGCCGTGACACCTGCCTTGCTCAAGTGAAGAAAGACAGTCCTTGCTTAATTTCAGTTAGTGCGACTGAAGCTCATCGACGTGTGTTAATGCTACTACATGTACGAGGGCAGTGCATGTCTGAAGATACGGGCCACAAGACAAACAACGAATCCAGCAATGCCACCGGACAGAACCCTGCGCGGCCACCAGCAGCAAACGAAGTAATCAGTAAACGTGGTCCGGCAGCAGACGGCACTAACCATAGCAATAATAATGACCATACTCGAATTACACTAGCAATAGATGCCCTACAACCCTAAACCCCTGAGTGCTGAAACCCCAAACCCTCAATGCGGGCTCGTCCTAGCTATGTAGGAGGGGAAAAGCCCAAACCCTAAATAGCTTGCCATAGCTATCCAGAGCCATGTTCTGGTTTCGGGACCTCTTGGTCTGGTGCTGAGGTGTTCCAAGCGTTCTCCTGCAGCGGAATGATTGCACGTCGCACGTTTCATGTGCTCAGCAACTAAGCACTGAAATCTAAGCCAGTGCAC